TGCCCTTATCTTGCTGCTACAATGCCTGAGTGCAGTTGGCTCATTCATCCCCAGCTCCAAGGGGGCCTTGATGGGATCCCTCTCCTTTCCTCCTGGGATTTGTATAGAAACCCAGATCTAAGCCAGTAGCTATCTGGCAAACCCCTAGACTTAGTGACACCAAGAGGGAGATGTTTCTGGTCATAAAATAGTTCAAACTGGCAAACAAGCATTGTACTACTAGAGTTACATCCTCAGCCCGTGCGTGCGCGTACCTGTGTACACATGCACATGCACACATGCATTGGTCCTAGGGCTTGAGCTTAGGTTTTGTGTGCTGTCCCTAAGCATTTTTACTCTCACTTGAGCCACAGTTCCACTTCTGGCTTTATGGTGGTTAATGGACTTTACTTCCCTAGCAGGCTTCAAACAGCTTCTTGAGTAGCTGAGATTAAAGGCGCGAGCCACTGGTGCCTTGAAGCCCTAGTTTTTGACAGGGTCTTGTGCTAATTTTGCCTAGGCTGATCTTGCACTCAGATCCTCCTACCTCTCAAGCAGCTGGGAGACGGGTACAGTGTTATCACCATGCCCACACAGAAAACTTTTAATCTGAAGTAATCTTATAAATGTTGAATAGGACATACAGCTCCTATAAAATTTTCATCAAGCCTCCCTAATGATTAAGCATTTCTCTGCCCAAAGCTTCCAACTTGAAAATAAATTGCAGATATAATGTTCCATTACTAATTACTTCTTTGACATTTCCTAAAAATGGGACTACTCTGCTGTAACCATATCAGAATCAGGGACTCAGCATTGCTCTATCACTACTAACGAATCTACAAACTCCATTCAAGCTTTGCCAGTTGTTCCAGTAGTGTCCTTTGTTGAACAAGATACAGACAGGGATCAAGTCATTCAGTCATTTTTCTTTTGTTTTTTGGCCATGGGTCTTGAACTCAGGGCCTAGGTGCCATCCCTGAGTTTTTCTCAAGACTAGTGCGCTACCACTTTGAGCCACAGCGCCACTTCTGGTTTTCTGATGGTTAATTGGAGATTAAGTGTCACGGACTTTCCTGGCTCCTGAGTAACTAAGATTAACAGGTGCAAGCCACCAGCACCCAGCACTCAGTTGGTCTTCTAGAATCAGAAAGTCCCAGTTTCTCTGCCTCTTCCAGGAAAGAGTTGTTGAAGATTCCTGTTTTCTGCCCCGTTGCAGTCTGGGTTTCTCTGGTACATCTGGATTTATTGCCTGGAATATACCAAAGCAGCAGTCCTGCTGTTCTTGGACATGGCAGTAAACACACTGTTGCATTTGTCTCATTATTTATGATAGTAACTTTTATCCTTCGGTTAGGATAGTTTCTGCTAGTTTCCTTAGCCCTCCTTAATAGCTATATTATTATTAAATAATAATTAGTTTGGAAGGAAGATTCTTTAGGGCTAAATGTACATATTCCTATGATCAGTTTTTTTCCTCCCACTAAGTCAGACTCTGCCAATTGCTCAACAATTATTACTCTAATGGCACCATAGGAGTGGTTTTTGCAATTCCATTCCATTTATTGGTTGGCACTGTACTATAGAACAGAATGTTCCCTTCTTTCACATCTATTTATTCGTTTACATCAGTATGGACTCACCATTATTATTTTACTCAAAGGCTATTAGTGTGGTCACTTAATGCTCAGTTTTTCTTAGACTTGTCAGTTCATTTCTGTGCATTCTTCTGATATCCTCATCATTCTTTGTGCACTTTGTGGTACAACATGATGTTCCAAGACCCAGCCTTGAAATCTGTCATTTCTTCAAGGACTCGGATTTGGAAACCAGAATATGGTTACTTTGTGTTCTCATGGCTATGGGAGTGTCACTGCTTCTGGATCCTCTCAGCATGTGTGTTTTATACACAGCCAGAACTGTGGTGCAGTCACCGTTCCTATCCTATGTAGCCACCAAGGATCATGAGTTTAATCTGGCACTTCTAATTCCAACCCCACACCACAGGGTTTATTCTTGCTTTTCCCTTTTCCATTATTCTCAATGCATTTATATACCTATTCCTCCCACTAGACAATCCTGAGGTCATAGGCCCCAAGGAAGGTAGAAGGAAGATCTCACACGATCCTGTATATCATCATATTACTATAGCCTGGGCTACTAATTAAAAAAAAATCTAGAAAGTTATCTTGGTTCTGAAGCTAACAAGTCTAAGATCAAGGTGCTGGCATCTAGTGTGGGCCTTCTTGTTGTGTTCCCAAATGGTGGCAGTTAAATGTGCAAGTGCTGCTCACATCTGTAATATTAGCTATTCAAGAGGCTGAGATCTGAGAATCGTGGTTTAAAGCCAGCCCAGGCAGAAAAGTCCATGAAACTCTTATCTCCAAGTAACTACCAGAAAACCAAAAGTGGCGTTATTGGTTAAAGTAGTAAAGAACTGGTCTTGAGCAAAAAGAGCTCAGGGACAGCATCCAGACCCTGAGTTCAAGGCCCACAACTGACCAATTAAAATAAAAAAGTGCAAGTGCTAAGATCCTATCTCAGCCTGCTGTGTAGCTAGGATTACATGTAGAAGCCACAGGTACCCGGGTAGCCAACCTCCCCCACAGTGCTAGTGCCAGACAGGTGTTTCACCACTGAGTTACATTAAAAAAAAAAAATCTTGCCAATGTCATTTCCTCGCTTATAAATTCTTCATGCTGAAAATCAAGAGCATAAAATGTTACCAAATATGGGTTTACAAAAGGTTTTATTAACACAAATGGAAAACTAAATTATGTATTACTTGGGTTATTCAAATATATGGCTTAATTGAAAGTCAATCATTTGCAAACACATCTTAGTATAAAAAAACGTTAAAAAAAATGAGCCAGTTTAGCAGGCTGAGATTGAGGATTGGGGCTGAAAGCCAGCCTTGTGCACACAAATCCAGGACTCTGTCTCCAATTAAGCAGCACACTCTCAGACAGAAGGCATGGCTCAAGTGGTAGGGAAAGCAAGTCAAGTGTCAGCGAAGACCCTGAGTTCAAAATCCAGCACTCTATAAATAGTAAACACATATGAACCGGGCATAGTGAGACAGGTGGGAGTTGGAGACATGAGGATTTCAAGTTGAAAGTCAACCTAGGCTGTTTCAAAAATGAAAAATTAAAAAAGCAAATTCTTTGTGTTATTTAGATGCCTGAAGTAATCTTTGTCCAGTTTTTTTTTTTTGAGTCAATTCCATGGGAATTCTGGCCACTTCCTGTCTTACTGCCAAAATGACTCACAACTAAAACATTTTTGGGATATGTGGACATGCAACAAAATAATTTAAAAAAGGCCAAGTGTTTCAAAAGGAAAAGCAGAAGAAAAATGAGATGGTAAACTCCACACAAAAAAAATCTGCACTAATAATTGCATACAAAATAACTTAACCAACCAAAAACTCAATTCAAAACACAAAATCTAGCAGTTGAGGGTCCAAATTAACTGTTGATTGAAACATTTAGAAAACTTTTAGGCTACACTTTTTTATTCTTGTTGGTTGTGGGCCTTGAACTCAGGGTCTAGGCACTGTCCCTGAACTTTTTTGCTCAATGATAGTGCTCTACCATTTTGAACTACCACTCCACTTTAGGTTTACTGGTGGCTAACTGGAGATAAAAGTCTCATGGACTGTTGCTGGGAAGGTGGCTCAGTGGTAATGTGCTTACCTGGCATGCATGAGGCCCTGGGATCGATTCCTCAGCAACCACATAAGCAGAGAAAGACGGAAGTGGTGCTATGGCTCAAGTGGTAGCCTTGAGCTGAAGAGCCAAGAGACAGTGCCCAGACCCCCAGAGTTCAAGCCCCACAACTGACAAAAAAAAAAGAAAAAAAAAATCTCATGGACTTTCCTGCTCAGGCTGGTTTCAAACTGTGATCCTCAGATCTCAGCCTCCTGAGTACCTAGGATGACAGGCGTGAGCCACCAGTGCCTGGCCTTAAGCTGAACTTCTATATTAACAAAGGACATATAAAAAAAAGGTTTCCAAAGCAACAAAAATAGTACCTTGGATCACAAAATTTATATTTTACCAATAATATACATATTTCCAACACTTAGAATACATTGAAGAGTAAAATTATATACATTCATGAGCAGTGTTACAAAAATTAGATCTTTCCCTTCTTTTGGGGGGAGGAATGAAGTTTGAACTCAGGGTCTCATGTTTGACAGGTGGGTACTCTACAACTTGAGCCTACCCCAGCTCATGGTCTGTTCCTTCTTAAACCCAAATCAGCTAGAGTATGTGTTATTTTCTGAATATTTAATGAGAATAGAAAGGGAAAACAAAACTCATGCTTTACAGCACATTGACCAAGTCAGCTGCTGTCACTAGTGAATTTCAGCACTCAGCCAGAACTAAGTGCTGAAATCAAAATAGTTGCAGTCTTTGCTAAACCTTACACCACAAAAATGGTTTTTATGTGGTTTTTCAAAAAACAAACTAAAGGGAGTCCATTACTATGTGTTAATTTGTGTGTGTGTGTGTGTGTGTGTGTTTTGCCAGTCCTGGGGCTTGAACTCTGGTCTTGGGCTCTGTCCCTGAGCTCCTTTTTTTTTTTTTTCTCCTCAAGGCTAGTACTGCACTCCTTGACCCACAGCGCCATTTCCAACTTGTTTTGTTATTAATTGGTGATAAGAGTCTCACAGACTTCCCTGCCCCAGTTGACTTTAACTTAAACCTTGATCCTCAGCCTCCTGAGTAGCTAGGATTACAGGTGTGAGCCACTAGGGTCCAGTGGGAGATTTTATTTTTACCTTTGGTTCTGCAATGTAATTTCAATAGGACTTTAAAGATATTACCTGTAATAATGATTATTTTTAAAGTAGTATAAAAACTTGAGCTGTGCAATGGGGACTCACATCTGTAATCCTAGCTACTCAGGAAATCAAGATCTGAGGATCACAGTTCGAAGCCAGCCTGGGCAGGAAAGTCCATGAGACTCATATCTCCAACTAGCCACCGAAAAGCTGGAAGGAGGGCTATGGCTCAAGTGGAAGAGCGCTAGTCTTGAGCACAAAAGCTCAGGCACAGCGCCCAGGCCCTAAACTGAATGTGGATGAGGGTTTATAATCCTCATTATTTCTGACAGTGGCAATAGATTGCAAATAAAACTTAAAAAAAAAAGCCGATACTTTTTCCTATTTCTAATTTTTAGAAAAGATATACTATAAAAATATTTTTTCTTTAGTTCCCAGCCACAATAATATTAACCATATCTAGATTCCACTCCAGTATCAAAAGTGAAGAGCTTAATTCTCCACTTCAGTTGACACAGTCCTTCTAACAGCCAGCAATCCCCAAGGCACTTTCTAAAGATTCTGAGACTATTGGAGGAAGAATGGTCTTCGTGCCTACTGATCTTCTGGGCACACTTCTCAAACTTTTCAAATTAAGACAGCGTTGTAACTGGATTTTCTGAAATTTCGTTTTCCGTGGCACAGCCCTTAGGTTAGTTTTCTTTTATTTTGAGCCACTCCTTCATTTCCAACTTGCTGAGCAGGCAAGCAACTGCTTTTGGTTTCCATAGAAACAGGATTCCTGCGGCTGTGTGCAGGCATTCTTGGTCCGCCAGCCTAGACAAGCAAGCGAAGAGTAGAACAGCTGAAAACACTTACAACATACCTGCACATCAACTCTGTATTAGTGACATATACACCCCTCACCTTGGAAACCATCTTTTGTAAGATTAAAAATCTTCCCTAGTCAGTAGACTGTTTGAAAAGACACAGTTTTAAAATACTAAACTTTCAAACAACAATCAGGGTGAAGAGACAGGGTTTCTGTAATAAATTGGGAATAGGTTGAAATGTTACATTGGAAAATGAAGAGATCATATGCCTTCTGGGGAATGTGTTTTCAGTAATTCTGCTGAAGGACAAGAGGAAGGAGGGATGAGAAACAAGCCAGTCAGAGGTGGGTAAAGAGGGAGAAGAAATTATATGCAGAAGATGAGGGCAGAAAAGAAGGTAAGGAGAGAAAATGGAGATGAAAAGAATAAGAAAAAAGAGCCCGAGAGAAAGAAGGAAAAAGAATATGAAGAAGTGAAAGAGAAACCAGCTTAGGTAGAAAAGTTTGCAAAACTGAAAGAGAAGGGCAAGAAATGTATTTTTTGATACTATACTTTAAAAACCTACATAATAAAATCAACATTTACTTAAGAAGGCCTCCCCGGAGTGTTGGCAATCAACAGTGATGGAGCGAATACCTCTTTCACTGCGGCTCATTGGAGGGCCATCAGAATCTAGTTCTCAAAATCAAACGTGTTCTAAGTCCCTGAATTTTCCGAATTGTACAAACATGCCTTTACCACCCATCCACCAAAATACCGCCCATTTAGATCAGTAACAGTTTTAATTGCTGATTCAACTCTTTCAATTTCTAAAAATTATTCATATGGCTTCATCATCAAGAATTTCAATATCACGCTTTCCAGCTTTTGCCTTAATTTTTGTACTCTTCCTTGGTTTCAAGTTCCCAGTCTTCGTCCACTTCTGCACTACTCATGGCCCTCAGCAGGACGCGTAAGTATCTTGGTTTTTAGTAAAGATCTGACTCTGACTTCCTGGATGTTTCCTGAGGCTCTCCCTTTTGCTGTGATCTTGACACCTCTCTCGCTGGTCTTCTCTAGTGACAAGGGGGTGCTCAGCCCTGCTCAAGCTTCCCGAGCCCCAGCCTTCCCAGAAGCTGTAATGGTGCATGATCTTTGGTTCAGATGTGTCACCTAGGTTAGCAAGGAAGGAGATGAGGGGCCTGTTAGTGGGTCATGGTCCTCCTGTACCAGAGAGGGGAATGACAAATTTGGAAGACTGTGATGGTGGTAGTCCTGAATCTTCACCTGGGAGGATGGGGGACCCTGCACAGCCAGAGCCCAGCTAGCACTCCTCTGCCCCCAACTCTCCCTCTTTAACTCTCACAGTCTAAGGAAGACAGGTCTGCCTATGATTCCCTTGTGAGTCATAGCCCTTCGTAAAGATGAGACCTGTTAATGCTGTCAATTCTCTGGCCACTCAGTGGGTAGTGGAGCAGGCCAGACTTCATAGATAACGACCAAAGCCGTGTGGCCTGAAGCCATTTCCCCAGAACTGGTCCACATCTATCTGGTTCTCTACCCTAGCCACTTGCATTCTTTGTTTCTTCATATCCTGCCTTCGGAGTCCATGTCTGGGGATGATACTGTAACTCCAAGCATATATGTAACTCCAAGCTCATATCCTAGGCCAACAGAAGCTGTACCGGCAATGCTCCAAGGGGCTTATGGCTCTTTAAGAATGCTCAGACTCCAGCATGCACTACAATTTACTAGCTCTTCTAGGGTGATTTGTCTTGCGGGGGGGGGGGGGGGGAGGAGAGGGGGATGGACGGAGGGAGGGGAGAGAGGGGTTAAATTACTAGAAAGGACAGCTTAAGTAGAGATTTCAGTCTGTGAATCTGTCCAAACCTGATAAACATTTCCAACATTCAGATTAGAAGAGTGTTGTGGTTTTGAGATATCTCTTGTCACTCTCCATTCAGCTGGTATTTCTTACAAAAAACATACTGACCTTACTCTAATATAATGTGTGTGTGTGTATGTGTGTGTGTATTAGATACAGTGAGTGTTGGTATTTGTGTGTATATAGGTGCCTGTCCTGGGCTTGAATTCAGGGCTTAGGTGCTGTCCCTGAGAATGTTTTGCTCAACACTGGCACTCTACCACTTGAGCCACAGCTCTGCTTCTGAATTTGGGGTGCTTAATTGGAGATAAGAGTTTCATAGCTGGGTGCCGGTGGCTCACACCTGCAATCCTAGCTACTCAGGAGGCTGAGATCTGAGGATCGTGGTTCAAAGCCAGCCCAGGCAGGAAAGTCCGTGAGACTCTAATCTCCAATAAACCACCAGAAAACTGGAAGTGGTGCTGTAGCTCAAGTGGTAGAGCGCTCGCCTTGAGCTGAAGAGCTGAGGGACAGCGCTCAGGCCTAGAGTTCAAGCCATACAACTGACAAAAAAAAAAAAAGTTACAAAGCAAGAAACATTCAGTATTAGAGTCTAAATCGATAAGGAAAATATGAATTCCTTTTTTAAAAACACCTTGTACAAACAAAATATTCTTCCTTCCAACTAAGAGTTGTTTGGTGCCAAGGTATGAACCCTTCATTTTCACTAAAAAGGAAAAAGCTACCTCCACACAGAATTATATGTTATGCCTACAAAGACTGTAATCAGTGTTTCTAAATTAAAAAACAAACAAACCATTCTCTTGGAATATAGATATGGAAAATGAATCAATTATTTTTGTTACTTAAAACATTCCTTAGAACCAGGCATATGTGGCTCACGCCTGTAATCCTAGCTACTCAGGAGGCTGAGATCTGAGAATTGCAGTTCAAAGCCAGCCTAGGCAGGAATGTCTGTGAGACTCTTATGTCTAATTAACCACCAGAAAACTGGAAGTGGTGCTGTGGCTCAAGTGGTAGAGCTGAGGGCCAGCGCCTAGGCCCAGAGTTCAAGCCCCATGATGGACCCCTCCCCCGCAAAAAAAAAATCCTTAGGTTATAAAAACCATTATTACTCGGCTGGGAAGTTGGCTCAGTGGTAGAGTGCTTGCCCTGCATGCATGAGGCCCTGGGTTCAATTCCTCAGCACCACATAAGTAGAAAAAAGCCAGAAGTGGCGCTGTGGCTCAAGTGGTAGAGCATTAGCCTTGAGCTGAAGAGCTGAGGGACAGTGCCCAGGCCCAGAGTTCAGGCCCCACGACCGACAAAACAAAAAACAAAAAAACTACTACTACTACATGTAAGCTAGACAGGCAACCGACTTTGTATATAAAATAACATAATGCTAATGAATTTTCTCTAGTCTTCTACTCCTCTCAATTATTTAACCACACTTACGACTTTTTGGGCCCACGTTAACTAGGAATGAACAAGGGGCTCAGCAGGAGTGTGGCTGCCTCGCTAGCCTGCAAGGGCCCAAGCTTCAATCCTGATTCACAAGACCTCCCATAAATAAATACGTAGGTACGTAAATGGATCTTCCCAAACACTAACACAGGATAGAGAACTAGAAAATATAACTCTAGTCACTGTCAACTGCAAAAAACAAAACAAAACAAAAATAAAATGATTATTTGCATTTTCAAAGCTATTTATCAAGAAGACTTGAGAAGAGTGTAGCTCAAGCAGTATAATGCCTGCTTGGCACGTAGAAGGCCCTGAGTTCAAACCTCAGCACTGGAAAAGAAAAAAAAAAAAAAGATTTGAGGACATTTATAGACCAGGACATTGGCACCTAGAAAGGGACAAAGTACAGAACATCCAAATGATAGAGCAACAATACTGACTTTGGAACAACCATATAGGCAAGATTATAGAATTTACACAGTCAACTTGACTCAAAAATTTGGTTTGCACAAAAGTAAATACACTGCATTCTTGATTCATTGTTGACCATAAAACTGTTTCCACAACTAAACTCAAATTGGAATTCATTATATGATGTGGAGAATGAGTGGTATGGTAGAGATAAAGAAATGTTATTCAGCTGGTATTTCTGGGAAGGGTTCTAGAAAGAAAATAACATTAACTATATTATTCAGTAAATATTGAATTACTTAACACCAAACACAATCTAGTCCTAATACTTTAACTAATGTTTTGTTTTGTACCAGTAATGGGCTGTCCCTTAGCTTTTTCACTCAAGGTTGATACTTTAAGCCACAGCGCCACTTCTAGCTTTTTGGTGGCTAGTTGAAAAAAAGAGCCACGGACTTACCTGCCTGTCTGGCTTTGAACCATGATCCTCAGATCTCAGCCTCCTGAGTAGCTAGGATTACAGGCATGAGCCACCAGCACCTAGCTCCTGAGGTTTTAATAAGGGATTTCACTCATTAATTACTAATATTTGCTATTTAGCACTTCTATATTGACTAATCAATTTTAAATTATATCATAATTTTATTACACAGTCTGCAAATTGCTTCAAATATTTAATGAAGGAGAATACATAAATAAAAACTACAAACACTTGCTTTAAATAGGAACATAGGAATTTAACTATGTGCATATACTCTGAAGACAAGCTGCTAGAATTTTTTTCTATTTATAAACTTTATAAAAAATAGAAACTTTCACCAGGTGCTGGTGACTCATGCCTATAATTTTAGCTACTCAGGAGTCTGAGATCTGAGGATCTGGGTCAAAGCCAGCTGTGAAACTCATATCTCCAATTAACCACCAAAAAAGCTCTGGCTCAAGCTGCTAAGAGTGTCAACCTTGAGCAAAAAAAAAAAGCTGGGGAACAGCACGCATTTAGTTCAAGCCTCAGGAGGACTGGTGCATGCACACACATGCATGTACATGTGTGTGCACACATGCACACACATACACACACAAACACTGTAAACTTTCACTGACAGAAAGACAGAGCTTTGGTAGAGCATCTGACTTTATCTACCCTTCCTAAGGATACAGATTTTAGGTGGGTGCCATGATTCGTATGGCAAATATAGGCACCTGCTGAACCCAAGAGATAGATCAGTGTTAAACAATCAAAAGACATCTTCATTGAAAATGCAATCTTACCTTCAGCTGTGTTGCAGGACCCTGAGACTTAGGTGGGAATGTACAAGGTATTCGTCCATGGTGGACGTGGTATGGTAACAGGAGACTGGGGTCTAAGGGAATCCAGGGCACGGAGAGACTGGAAGGTATACTAGGAAGGTCACAGTGTGATTTGTGCAAATTATAGGCCGTTCTGCTCAATTTCCCATCCGAGGTCTTGTAGATCAGGAGCGAAGAGTCTTCTGCTGCATGGGACAACAGGTAGCAGCCCTCCTGCAAGCTAAGTTCACACAGTGAATCTCAGTTCACTGGCATACTGTGTCTATTTCAACAGCATTTCCTTAATCATGATCTAGTAATAAAACAAACCAATTACAGGAATTGCGTACCACCTTGGAATATGCTTCTATGATTCATAAAAGTATTTAAGTGAATCAAGTTATTTTTGCATCTAAAAGGCAACTAATTTTTGTTTTCCTCTGTTTGGTTTCTGGCAACAAAGTAAACTTAGTAAGTGCCCCAGGCTAGCCTTGAATTCAATATCCCCTTGCTAGTGCATCTGCAATGCTGGGATTACAGGCATGTGCTACTATGCCCAACTTTTAATTCTTTTTCAAGGCAAGTGCTCTATCACTTGAGCCACAGTGCCACTTCAGTTTTTTGATGGTTTATTGGAGATAAGAGTCCCATGGACTTTCCTTCCCTGGGCTGGCTTTGAACCGCGACCCTCAGATCTCAGCCTCCTGAGTACAACTTTTAATTTTGATTCCAAAGTTCTATCTAGTCCTTTTCTTTTTACTGTGATACCATCTTTTCAATTTTCAATCATTTAATAGGAAAACAAAGGAAATGTGCAGTTCTCTAATTAAATTCAACACTGTTCTTATTTTATATCTAACATTATGCAAGTAGGGATATAAAAGTGAATGTGATGTGTTCTCTCCTTTAAAGTGGTAGCAACAACTAATAGGATAATTACAACAAGGAAGCCAGAACACAGTAACATGGCAGCTAACAAGTAATGATTGTTCCCCTTCTTCCACAGCAAACCTTTGAGGCATAACATCAACTTTGAACTACAAATTGGAGATAAATAACCAAACTAGAAATGTGAAACAACTTGCCCTAAGTTCTAAGTCTAACGAGCCAGGCTGTAGACCGGGCAGTCAAACTCCCCACCACTGTCACAGTAATCGGTTATGTCAACATCCAATCCTCATTTTATTTTCTTTCCTAGTAAGCTTTAAGGGATTCAATGTATCACCATAAAGAGCTAAAGGGATACGATTAATATGTGGCGCTTTCTTGGGATTACTCGCTCCTCTGGATCAAAGGGGCAAAGAGAACAGCTCTTTCCTACATTATTAAAAATAAAGATTAATCGTCCTTTAGCTATACAGATCTCCCAATAAGCCGAAAAAGCTATATTTTCATTAACATTCTAATGCCCAAAGTAATAGGTGTTGATAAAGGATTTCTGGAGAGTTATTCTTTTTTTTTTTTTTTTTTTCCGGTCGTGGGGCCTGAACTCTGGGCCTGGGCGCTGCCCCTCAGCTCTTCAGCTCAAGGCTAGC